CGACAAATAGCTGACTTTCCTATTTAATATTGCTTATTTGTAAAAAAATATAAATTTGGGGATTCACGGTGAAGGTTTTTGTCACGTGGTTAGGTGTTGCACTTACTGAATATTTCGCTGGCTGCTGTGTACTGTTGTTGTGGGCTGTTTTTACTGAATTGTTTTTTTCTTTCGCGGCGTGTTGGAGTCGCCTCTTATACAGACCAATATATCTCTTTATGATATCTTTAGGAAGGTAAGGCATTTTATGACTATTAGCAAGGTTAATCCCATAAAGTAATTTTAGCAATTGCACATTACATTTAATGGTCCTATAAGACCAAGGGCAGAGGAACGCATCCCCTACAGTAAATATTATTTTTAATTTTTCATTAAATAATGTACTATGAGGATACATAATAAATGAAATTTAAGGATATGACACTAATGCTGATACGTTCAAACTATAATACCACCTGTCCACAGAATTCTGTCCTCCACTGTATATATATAATACCAGGTGTTTGCGTTATTTTTGTTCAGAATTTTTTTCGGAACTGATAAACAAGAGAGAAAAATGGCACAGGACAGTTGGTACGGTTTGCTATGACCAATACAGTATATAACAATTTTTTATGTTCACAATATTTTTCACGAATTTTTTATATAGAATGCTATTTTTTTGTTTGTTTGTCATATAAAAATGACTCTTAAGATGAATTCAAATATATGGTTTCTAAAGGGTCAAGAATGAGAGAAATTAAATTAAAATATTTATAACGAATTGAAGCATACGTACACACACGCACGCACGCACACACACACAAGAGAAAATTATTTTATAACTTTTCCACCATCTTCAGTATATATAGTTATGCATTTTCGATTCGTTGGAATATTTAGAATTATCTCTTGCAAAAAAATTTCGTTAACAGCCAAATCAAAAATTGGCCAATTTCTACTATTATTTATTATCTTTAGTTTCCAAATAGCATTTTGTTCTGAAAATCCATCGTGAAAATAATTTTAAAAAATTTTTTAATTTTCTAGCAGAGACATTTAAAAGTCTTGCTATGCAAAATCCGCGAAAATCTACGGATTCCAAATTGTTAATTTAGTGTACTCGACTGATTTTAATTAAATGTGTTTTTCTCGAAAACGAAAATTTTCATTCTTGTTTTTCGTACTGTTTTGAACTGTAGAATCACCCTGGCCCAATTTGCTTCTACATATCATGACTTGTGGCTCACCCTTATACTAGTAAACCAATATATTATAATATAAATGAACCAATATCAACGAAAAATATGTTTTAAACTATTATAACTCCATAAAGAAAAATCATATAAAAATCTACTTAGTCTCATTTTAAAGCGTAAAATCTCTATTTTGACAGTTCTGAGTTCATTTTTTTTTTTTTTCAAAGACTTTTACATGAGTGAAAATGAAGTTTTTAGCACAGTATGTACAGTAACATTTTGGGAGTAATATTTTGGGATCCTATATAGAATTTTCAAATAATCCGTACTTTTTTACTTCCTTTCATTAATGTAATTGACTGTGACCACAGAAGTCTTGTATTATCGTACCGATTTAAGCTGTATTCTAGAACTTCTTACTTTTTTCTAGAACTTACTTCTTTCTACTTTTTAATTCTAATCAGAAATTTCACTTTTGCACACGTATGTATATAAAACAATTTGTAAAATTAATAGCAAATTAATAACTACAAATAATATTCTATGTTCTTACGAAACTAACGGTCTACAAATATATTCTATGTACTTATGAAATTAACTACAAATTATAGTTAGATAAATTAGGAAAGACCAAAGCAAGTTGATAAGTTTTTCAATTTTTAATGCAATTAATTTTGCAATTAATTATTATATTAATATGCTTAAAATTTTAACTATTTCGTTAACATTTCTTTAATAAGAAATTCGTTTTATCACTAAAATAAAAAATCAATTGGGGGAGACCGAAAAAATCATATAGTTTTTGTTATTTTTTAAAGGAATAATGTCATATTAAAAAGAATTATAAACCAACGAAACAGTCAACGAAATTGAGAAAAATCGCTAAACTAAAAATTTACCAAATATATTTTGCCTATTTAACTGTAAATATCATTATATTATAATATAAATTAATATCATATATATTACAAAAATACGAATGTATCAATTACAGCACAGCGTTTATACATATATAAAATATTTTGATTATTAACTCTTTGCATTTTGAGAACACTTTGAACACAACAAAGAATGCAAACTACGAAAATGATTATAGTGCAAAAGATTAATACAGTAATAAGCTTATAATTGATCAACTTCTGTTATCTTTATTTACTTTGTCTTATTATCCAAACAAAGGACATGAGATTCTACAGTAACTACTTGTGTGACTAAGTATACATTAATATTATTTCAATATTATAATTGTAATTTAGTAATATAATTCTAATTCAGCTACATATGCATATAAACAACAGAAAATTTAGTCGATAGGAAATTAAAAAATTAGTCAGTTTCCAAATTTGCGTAACAATCATATATATATATAATAATACATATAACAATAATATATAATATATGTATAATCATTTATTATGTATTTTAGATTAAAAATGTTTTGTAGCATTTTATATAAACCAATTTCATGACATGCATTTTACACGCCAACAATTTATTTACACCACAAGAAGTCATTATATAAAAACAAAATAACAGAATATAATTATCTTATTTTCAAGTAACTTAATAAGAAGTCAAATTTATCCAGCATATGAATGTTTTCTTCAAACAAATTGAGAAGTCAACACAAATATTTATTTTTTATTTTACTTTAGATAATAAGTCTAATTCTATCATAATAAACAATAAATTCCATATATATCATTCTGATCTGAATGATCTGATCATACATGTATACCATATAATAGCCAAATAATTTCAGTGCATCAACCTGATTTTGTATCAACTTACTTCAATCTTTCTTATTAATTGTTAATAACAATATATATATATTTTTATGATTTATTGCTTCATATATAATATTAATAATACTTATTATGTAACAAATTGAAGATAAAGAGCTTGTAAATAGTTTCATAATCTCGGATAATTACACACATCTCATTGTTGCATATCACGATGAATCTTTAACTCTAGCTACAATGTATAGCTTCAAATATTTTTAAATGATAATGTATTTATGCTACTAATAATAATTGTAGCTTGTTATTTTCATGAAAGAGAAAACATAACATTGTCGAATTGTTCAAATGAACTGTACCATTATGTATTAGACTATATTATATTGCATAACATAAATTGTAAAATATATGAAGACTACCATATGTCATTTATTATGTTAAACATAAATAACAAAAATAAGTTTACTGAATTACAATTAACAAATTCACAAGCACAAACATAATAACATCTAAACAAATTACATTACTCGTTATATCTATAATTAAATATTAATGAATGAAATAATGATGAAGCAAACAATAAATCATTCAAATTATGACAGTTTTAATTTAAAAAATTGTATACAAAGAAAACTTAAAAACAAACATATAGTAGAGTTGAAACATACATCAATGTTAATTATATACATATGTATAATTAGATATATAGATTAATATATATTATATTTGTGTTATACTTATGTATATATTTCATTTTATTCGTGCCAAACTCATATATGTATGTATATAATATGACATACGCACGCGCCACGAGCTTTATGACTAGTCACATTATAAGTTATAAATATTATAAAAATGGACACATTTTTTGGCATCACACCATTATTTAATGGCATCTATTTAACTTTTAATATTAATTATATTATTTTGTAATGTTTAGTGAAAATTTTGCAACTAATAAAGGAAATAAAGATACATAAAATTTGCCGAGTATATACATCTGTGTATATATATATATCGAATATACATGTATTATTTTTCTGTATTTGCTATTATTAATACATATAATACTTTAATATATAAAAATATTAAAAATTGTTAAAATATTAAACATATTCAAAGAAATATCTACTTAAAATATATACATATACATATTTTTTACATGATGATTTTGCATACGTACCGTCATACATATGTTCTCTTTTGTGTATAAAATGGGAAAATAAAAATGGAAATGTCCAATAAAGTATCAAAATATCTAATACCAAAAACGTATATACAATTATCAGAATAATATATTCTATAATATTGTAATTATCAGAAGAATATTCCATGTTATTGTAATATTCTTGTCGATATGTGCACGTGGCTTACGGCCTAAGAAAACCATCAATATTGGTCGCATACATATGTATGTATATAGATATATAGATACATATATACATGCATATGCAAATAACATACATAGTAGACAGTACGAGTAAAATATCAAGTTGAATACGTCACCTAAAACGTAATACGATTTGGCACACGAAAATATACTAACTGTTCCGAAACTGTATTTAGTTTACTGAAAAATCATCGAATTTAATGAAATCCTCAACTAAAAACATTGCAATTAATAAATTTTAAAACATTATTCCAAAATCGAAAATCTTCAAGCAAAAGCAAACGACATCTTCATCTTGTCATGCTACTAACACTATTGGAATATAACTTTACATAAGACATAGTTGATCACACGACTCATGTTTACGATGCACAAGTACAAAAACGCTAAATCTGTTATATAACGTATCGCAACTAACAAAGAAAAAAAATTTTTGAATAAATAAACAGTTACATCGGTCACTTTCTGGAATCGATCGAAATGCTTGTTTCGCTTAAATACAGACCTGTGCGGAATATTTTTTTCAACTAACTTATAGACATATTTAGGCGTTCACGAGCCGGTAAATTCTCAGCTTGTTTGAAACTAAGCGATCGTTACCGGCAAGAACGAAAAGGGGTGAAAGCGTGTGTACAAGCACCATCAATAGACGATCCTGTGGGGGGGTGACTTACTTAACCAATATCTCACCTGAAAGTCGCAGTGGATAATTTCGGCGTCGTCTAGAAGTCGAATAGTGGCGCGATGCACCACCGTAACGTCACTTTTACTACCAAATTTCAACATTTCTGCCCTCAAGTCGCCACCCGAATTATCCCCCCGACCCTCATCGTCTCCTGCCCCACAACACCACACACTGCCAGCTAATTACTTTCGATTCACGTTATTGTTGTCGTAAATAATAATAATCGTCGCTGACATGCGACTTTTCAGTAAATTTTCCGGCAAGTTGATATAACGCACGATGACACTACACAACGAACGACACATCACCGTAATAGAATACCAAACTTTCTGTCAACCGGTCCTGTCTTCTGACCCACTGTTGCAACGATGCCATGTTCTCAACTCACGTAACAAACCCCATGTTGCCATTTCGAAATATAGCGACCGCATGATGTGATTGGTCCGTGGCTAGACTGTGGCGGGAAATTTCAAAGTGAAATTATAAATATCACATTTTCTTTCAATTAAATTTATAAATAAAACAATTATTAAACATGTGTCAACGAGGATACTGTTTCGCTTTATTTGTATTACAATTGAGTTTTATTTTATCTTAGAATGAAACAAAACAGTTTTTTGTCGATAAATCTATTTCAAAACTTATTCAGCATAGATGACATTATGATAAAAATCATAAATAAGAAAATGTATCATTATAACATGTAAACCATTCATATTTAATTTATTACTGGTTTTTGATGATGAAAAAAAATAAGAGAATGCATTTAGCAGTAAAAGATTTTAAATATAAAATAAAGGAATTTCATTTTTATCAATATCAAGTAAAACGATTCTTCTTTTTTTACAATCGTACTATACTCTCATTGTCGAAAACCATTTTTATCGAAACATTGCTTCTACATGAGGTTACAGTAATATCCCATAGATGGTGCTCAACGATAAATGACTTGTGTATTAAAGTAGTAAATTGAAATATGGTGGGGATAAACTAGGGGCATTGAACAAAGGTTGACTGCGTTGGCCGAGGAGTCGGCGGCGCATTCACGACTTAAACATGGCAGCGGCTACCAGCGTTGTCGTGCTCGACAGGGGCAACAATACCACCTGCACGATTAATTTACACGGTGTGTGTGCGCGCGTACATATTACAACAAACCACTAGATCTGCGAGTTGACTATCGAGTTTTATTAAAATTTACTTGGACTAACGTGTAAAGACGTAAACAAATACACCGCGGTATACATATACATGCATGCACAAACACATTTGACGATCATCTTTATCCTGAAAAACAATGTTCCACATCATCATAAGGTGTTACTGAAAATAAAAAGAATTTCGACAAAGAATGATCGCGTAGAAAAACAGTTTGAAAGAAGTACATCGTAAAGATTTATTGACAACGTACCGCTCTCAGATTTGTGTCCCATTTTTATAAGAAGACAAAGTGTGTGCGCGCCTTTACTCAAGCCTAACCTCTAGTTTTTGTGGTGTTTTCATAACGTGTCTGCGAGTTTGCACATGCATCTACAAATTAAATTATTTACTATAAATTAAAAATTTAACCAGCTATGTCGATCATTTTTATTACTTATTAAATAGGCGTCAACGTTTTTTTTTTTTTTTTTTTTAACGTATTCGCTTAATCATTGTAAACACGCCGTACGTTTTCCTCAATTTTTGATAATACTATTGACAGTTAGAATAAGTGTGTGCAATAAAAATTTCCATTCAAATTAATGTCAAATAGAAAGATGAACAACATCGAAAAATTGAATTTTGATCGAAAAAACAAACATGCACAAATTTACGTCCACGTAACTAAAGAATCAAATTTTGTTATAATGTACAAAATTTTTCGTTTTTCAGGAGCTACCGTGGTATCCTGGAGAGTAAATAACCAAGAACAGCTATTCGTCAGGTAAGTTTCTGTAATATTTCTATCGATAAAAATAATTTGTTATGATTAATAACAATGAATGTTTTTGTACTAAAATAATTATAAAGCATAGAGCAAATTATTTAGTTTCAAACTCATTCTTTGTCTTTATAATATAATATTTGTATAAAACTTGTTTGCAAATGAAAATATTCATTATTTTTTTAATAAATTTATTTTGATATAATTAGCTAACATTGTCATATAGCTGTTATGACGAAAATTGAAAAATTATTAATACAAAATATTGACTACAAATAATATCATACAAACAAATGCTTAATTAATACGAAAATATTAGGTAATACAAAATATTCTTAAAAACAAACATGCACAAATTTACGTCCACGTAACATAAAGAATATCAAATTTTGTTATAATGTACAAAATTTGAACTGATTAATATTTTGTGTAATATTATTGATATACGTTATATCTGAGAAAACAAAAATTCATTGAGATTATTTCCTTTTACATATGTTTGATTTTTCTTTTTCTTTTCTCTTCTTCTTTTTTTAAGTGAATTAATCGTAATTATATTAGTTAAGATTTACTAGAAATTGATTTACTTCAAATCGATTATCATTTAAGTACTTGAATCTTAATATATATATAATACAATGTATTTTTTTTTCATTTTCAAAATAGATACAAATGTAAGGATAAAATATTGCAAAAGAATTCACAGTATTGATAATATGCATTTAAACTATTAATTTTTGAACCACCGGCCAAAAAGTTGCCGATCTGGATGACTTTTGAATTATTCACATATCGGAATTGTGAATACTAATAAGTATCATTTTTCTGACTATTTAGAAAATTTTCCATTTTCCAAGAGTCAATTTAAAATTACATATGATAAATAAATAAAAATTAATTCTTTTTTATGCAAAATTCTTGGAAAAAACCTAAAGTATCGGTATTTTTTTTAAATTCGTAATTTTTGATGTTTTCTATTTATTCTATAATATCAAAATGTACCAAAATAATTTTTGAACATTTTGAATTATAAATATTTAGCATGAGAAAGTATACACAAATTTTCGAAATTTCAAATTAATATTATAAATAGTTACGAATAGTATATACAGAATAATTACGAATAGTATACGCACAGCTGTCATATAGTTAATGTCTAGATAAAGCCCCTACAATATAAAAATAATGATTATCTGAAAAAATAAAATAATAACTAGACAATGAAAAGAATTTATAAAATAAGTATTAAAATTGTGTATTACTTAGATAATTCATTATTACGACAGTTTAATGTTTTATGTCTGTTAATTAAGTTTATAATTATTCGTATAGTTACTAACGTAAATTTTTTCTTTTCGACTTGATCCTGTTATAAGATACATGGGAAAATTGATATTCTATATGCAAAATCATTTCATTATGTAGACGCTTAATCATTTCATTATTTTACGTCGTGTAAATGCATTACATAAAAGTAATTTTTAAATACAAATTGTTTGATTTGAACAGATAGATATGAGAATAAGAACTACGATGCTAAAAAAAGAAAAGGCATCCTCTGTTCTTCAATGATCATAATAAATTATAAAGTATTTGAAATAAGCAAAATATCCAACACCACGTAATGTAATCGTGATGTATGTTATGTAATCATTTCTCAGTTTGCTAATACTACAGAAAATATATATTATTTCGATAGACGAAGAGAGAATATTAACATTAGCCTTTTTCTGATATATTATTTATAAAGGTTTCGATGTAAATTTTGATTTTACGATAGAATATTGGAATTCACATATATTTATATTGGACAAAAACATACATATAAAAGAAGTATTTTTAATTAAATATTTGTCTATAACTATATGACAATTTTCATTGGTATACATCGTTACTGCATAAATTTTTAATACGTGTGTTATTTATACATTTTTAATGAGTAGAAATAATATTGAAGAAAAATAGTAGGAGTAGGATATAGCAGGAACAACAGCATACAAGACATGCGTATACACCTGCTATGAAAGAGCCGCTTAAAAGCGCGGTGCCCGTGACGATCGCTTTAAAAGCAGCAGCCTGAGAGCAGACGATGAAAAAACTGACGAAGCGAAGGCAAGGGCGCTCTGGACCAGTAGGTATATACCTTTAACACGAAGTTCAGGGCCCCTCGCCAGTTGCTAGTCATTGGTTCTTCCGACTCTAAAGGTGCTGTCAGGGCCACTTGTTTCTATCCTCTCATCTTTCCTTAAATGTAAATCAATTTTTCTTCAAGTATAAATATATACCAAAAAATGAAAAGTTGTGAAAAGTTTTCACGACTTTTCATTTCCCAAATACGATGTATACTATTTTAAAAATTGAAAGTCTAAAAGACAGCGAGTCAACAGGCATACTTGTAATTTACTCTAATTCCCATGGAAACAGCTATAAAAGTTACATCGGCATGTCCGGTTTGATATGAATCTCTTAGGCACGAGATGTGCCTAAGAAATACGCCCTTGTATAGTCGTAATACTTACGAATCTTTTCGTATCTTTATTGTATATATTTTGGAACTATGTACAGAAGCTCTGATTATCATATTTTTACTATTGTGTCAATGTTATTCTCTTTCAAATCTATTATATCTAAATAGATTTTGTAAATATACCTAAATAAAATCATATGTTGGGTTAAAGTAGCATCATAATTGTTTTATTGATATTTGAATAATGTCATAAATAATAATATTAAATATAATTTTGTTCAAATTGGCTAGTCATTTAATTTTTTGAAAAATTTTCTTTACATTTTGAGATTAATATTCTCAACATAAATAATAAATAAGTTTCAGTTACAGATTTTTGTGACTAATAAAGGGTAAAAATTAGTAAATTCTTATTATATGAAGTCTAATTATATTTATTTTTTATTTTCACCAAGTTCATACAAATGAACCTAAGTAAATATTCAGTATATCATGCTAGTTGTAAATTATCCGTTCATAGAATACTTGATAACACTGTAAATTGTTGTTAAATTAACCAACCAAAGCAATTCGTCAAATAAAGTTCGTATCTAAAGGCAAATCTTTATGATATGTAAAGAAAAGAATCTTTATATTATATGTGCATATATATGATACAAAAGTTGATCTGTAAATTTACTCGAGCTTTTTGTCTAAAACACTTATTTATTTGCACTTTTCACTCTTCAAAGCTACATTATTATTATTTATAAAATTTATGGATTTCTACACTGTAATAAAATAGTAATATTAATTATTATTATTAATAACTAATATAGTTAAAATTAACATTTTAATTACTTGCAAAATATGTTATGTATATTGTAACCATATATTTATATTAAAAATCATCCTTTACTTAATTACATAAGTCGCGAAAAAAATTTTTTTCTTTAATTTTTACTTAATTTTTTATAAGAAATTGTCATGCATATTATTTGAGTATATACTGACGTATTAATTTCCAACAAAACATGTTTATTAATGGATTGATTATTTCATTATTATTTAATCCTTTCCATTTTAGAGAATAAATATGCAATATGTATACAAGATGTCCATCATAGTAGTCTTTAAAATTTTTCAGGCACTTTCTCTAATTAACAAAAGTTAACTAGTACTTATAATAATAACTAACTTAAGAAAAATAACCAAACAAAATTTTCTGTTGAATAAAAAATCAAAATTACTATGTAACTCTCAAATGACTTATAATTTCTTTTATTCATTATTGAAGGTGACATTAAAATTCAACAATAAACAGTTACGTTTCCTTAGTAATTTTTTAAAAAACTGACCCAATGTGATTTCTGACCAAAATGTGATTTTCTTATTAATAAGCTTTCTTATTAATAAACTTTTTGAGCAATAAACATAAAATTCGATTTCTTGCCTGCCCCTAATATATCTGTATTATTACGATAGATGTATTCTAACTCATCATTTGGATACAAAATATACATATAATATTAAAATACATATACAATATTAATTATTTGTCAAATTGTGAATATATTGTTGCACAGCGAATATTAAAGAAATGTTCATGAGAATAGTGGATTTATATAAAAAATGATTTTCAAAGAGGAAACGTGTTACTTTCTAGGCTGATTTTCTAAAATATTGGAAGAAAGCATTACATTAAATTTTTCATACTCAACAGAAGGATCTAAACTATAAATACTTTGTATATAATATGTTTCTTATAATTTGATCCTTGATTTATTGTAAAATAAAAATGTTACAATAATATTTCAAATTTTAATCAATACGTCAGTATCTCAGTTTACAATGTCATCATTACGTATAAAATTTTCAGTATGAATTCTAATTATTAAAATCCTTATAATAATTTCTCAAAATATTATTTTTATGTCAATATCTTTTTTTACTTTAAAATTTTTCAAACATGTTAGCATTGCAGTGTTACATTAAAATTTTTAAATATTAATATTGTACAACACAATATTTCCAAGTATTATTTGTTTTTCTAGCATTATATTTTATTTGTATGTTAATTTTTTAATTCCTCTCTTAAAAAATTCTTAATTTTTTGACGAAAAATATTCAGTTAATGTTTTCTGAATTTTTCCTTTAGATTAAATTTTCTCTTTTTTTTTTAGCATTTTATAATTATCAAAATAAACAAAAATTTGCCTATATTAAGTCTAAAGAATAAAGTCAATAATATAATAACTTGATATTTTTTTATTCTATCTATTGTCTTTATTGTATATAATCAATGTTAACATAATGAAACAGAATTGGTCCTCATATTGATCATTTCACCAATAATGTTATTGTTCCAGTTACTGATTATAAATTTTGATTTTTACCACGACAGTTACCATGATTGAATTAGAAATTCAAAATACAAAATAAAAAATGTATATTTCTTAAATATACTACGAGCTAAAGCTTCGAGCAGCATGAGAACCCAGTGAGGAATATTTCATAAATATAACTATAGTTTCGTATTGCCAAATTTGGCACA